GCTTGGTTGAGTCCAGGTCCATCAGGATTTTCTGGTACACCTCGAATGTACGTGTCAGGCTTTTTGGATAGCTCAAGTTGAGTGCATAGATCAGTCCATAAAGCATCACGAATGCATGGCTGACACTCTGCAGGTTATGGAGGACTTCCACACCTTCCAGCACAACACCAACATCAGCAAAGCGTCCATTACCTGGACCATCAGGACCACAACCCTCTGCTCGGACAGTGTAGATGCCCATGGTCTTCTCCGCAATGTCTGCCTCAGCCTCTCTGGATTCAATGTCCTGGAATATAAAGAGAACAGAATGATTGGCTATGTGATCCTAACCTTGACCACTAAAATCTAAGCAGCTCATGCTTAGGCCAACTGAGTGTTCATTTGAAGATATTTCTTTAAAGCACTGCATATAGGCGTTCATGAGAATGAGAAAGATGCTAGTTCAAGGTCACAATGACCTTATGACCTTTGATCACCTCCAAAAAGCCTGGAAAAAAAGAAAAAGTCATAAGGATGCATTTTGCTATGTTGCTGTTAATAGATTATACACAGCCTACTCTCATATTCTGCACTTTTCTATCAAGGTGACAACAACAATTAAAACTGAAATTGATCCTTTACAGTAGTAGTCTTGTTCTCACATGTTTACGGGTTGATTCACCACTGAGAGTTTGTGCTTCTTTAATACGAAGGGATATCCGGGGAGACTGCTCTTTTCCTACTGAAGCCTTTGACCTGCCAAAAAAAATGCAGTTAACAAAACACCAAATACAAATAAAATAAATCCATCTATCCGTTATCTATACCCGCTTCTTCCTTTCAGGGTCACGGGGATCACTAGTGACCATACCCAGTAGTCACTGTACAAGGGTACACCCTAGACAGGTGGCAAGTCCATCACAGGGCCACATAGAGACAAACGAGACAAACAGCCATTCACTCTCACCTAGGGACAATTTAGAGTTACTAATTAACCTAAAAGTCATGTTTTTAGTCTGTGGGAGGAAGCTGGAGTACCCGGAGAAAACCCACCCATGCACGGAGAGAACATGCAAACTCTACCCAGAAAGGTCCCCGGGCAGGGATTCAATTTAGTGACTCTACAAATACATATATATATAGAAATACAGAATCAGGAACACCCCTCCAACTAATTTTGTTTAGAGATCAGTGTTGTAAATGCATAAGCAGTTACTATAAGAAACAAATAAACTGTTTATTGATGCAGGGAAAATGGATCGAAAGAAAGGAAGAAAACCTCTCCAACCCCTTCTCCCTCTCTGCTGCCTTTTCTACTCACCTCCTCCCTCTCCTAACCTCTTGTAGGGGTAAGGTTTACTCCTCTCATATCCAACCCTCTCCAAACCTTCTCACTCATGCCATCCTCTTTCTTTCACTCCTCATTACGTAATAGACTTGATGCACAAGCTCCACTACTTCCTGACAGGAAGAACTTTATTTCCTGCATATACTATAAGTTTAAGTGATTAATCAGGTGCAGTACTGCTCTTAAATATTGTGCACTTTTCTGCCAAGGTGACATAAAAATCTGACAATTATTCTTTAAAGTAGCAGTCTCGTTCTCACATATTTGAATTGAACCTGGGTACCTGATAAATCACTTAAAACAATACTATGGTAAAAGAAACAAAGATGCAGTCTTCTAGTCAGGAAGTGGTGGAGTGTGTGCATTAAACCTCTGTTACATCTAAAGCTGCTGACTTAAATTGTGTTTTGCCCAGTTTTATGCTACCTAGTGACAAATCTTGACTTTGTTATGTAATCAACAGGGGAGGTGCTGGGCAGCATTGAAAAGTTGAAATGGTTCAACATTTCAGCAGCCATAAAAAGTGAGCTGTTTTGCATTGGTCTAAGAGAGGACAGTAGGAGTAAGAGGAGGGTTGGAAGGAGGATGACAGGGAAGAAAAAGGACCTACCTTTCCCTATCCTAACCTTCTCTCTCTCTTTACCTTTTGCCTGTTGGAAACGGCTCCCCTTCTAGTCAATTTTCAGTCCCAACAGCAAAAACAATTCATACTTCCAACTACACTGCTTTATGACTTACCTCTTGACATGTGACTTTGGCTTTACTGACTGCCTCAGATCCTCAGCTTCCTTTTGACAGAGAAAAATAAATTAATAATCATCCCATTTTTTCTTTCCATAAACAGCAATCCTAAACATACTACAAGGTATGCTAACGGGGGAAGACAGAAATTACACTCTCTTTGTAAACTACATTGTAGGGGAAAAAATGAAAATAACCCATTAAGACCAAATTTAACACTTTTTTTAAAATCCCATGCTCAATGCATGTGTGATGTTACACTGGTGGGAGATGACGAGTATGACAGAAAGAAAGATACAGAGAGGACCAGGGTTTCTTCTACATGTAATTGATCGTGGCGAACTGCCATGGCTAAATAAAAGCCCCCCACATCTGTAAAAAGAGCAGGGGGCAGAGCAAAGGAGAGACCAAGGGGAGAGTAAGTAAAGACACACAAAGTGTGAGAGGGAGTGAAATAGACAACAGCTAATCGGTCTTGAATTGGTTATNCCCCCACATCTGTAAAAAGAGCAGGGGGCAGAGCAAAGGAGAGACCAAGGGGAGAGTAAGTAAAGACACACAAAGTGTGAGAGGGAGTGAAATGGACAACAGCTAATCGGTCTTGAATTGGTTATAGTTTCACATACTTGCCATATCTTCAAAGAAGACAAAAAGGCTTCCTTCTGTACGATGTTCTCAAGGCGTTGGAGTTCATAAGCTGACAGTCCACAACATGCGTCCTAGTGATCCCCCCCAAATAAACACAGTAGACTCCAGTTGATCAGAACCAAGAATCAAGATGACCTCACATTATTTTAAAAGCATTTCTTAATAAAATACTTCCAAAACATGCTGCTGAGTCATAAGAACTAGGAAGTGCCTGTGTCCTCACCTTGTTGTTTTGGCGAGAATTGTCATCCTTTGCATAATGAGGGCATTTAGGTGCCAGGACCCGGCCCACTTCATCTTCAGGCTTCTCTGGACCAAGTGGATTTACTTCCTACAAAGTGACAGCACTACCAGCATTTGCCTTGCGGG